ACTCATTATTATTATTATTCAAGAAATGTAATTATGAAATAAATTTAGTTTGTCTTGGCTAGAGATACTGTCAAAATGAGAGACATCATAGATGAGACAAAAGGAAATACATGTATTTGTTAATTTTTTTTGATGGTTTATTAATCTTTTGTAGGTTATTTAAAGCCAAAAAATATTTTTAGATTTTAAGTAATTTTTGGAGATAATAATGATTTTACTGATACAAATATCCATTACTCCACCGTACATCAAGTGAGGGATGGTGGAGTAATGGATAGCGGCTTGGATTGAGGAATCGGAGAGCCAAGTTTGAATTCCAGTTGAATCCATTACATTCATTTATATGCTAATATCCTTGGGAAAGGCATGAACTCTCTTCTTCTCCCCCAAGTTATGGGTAAGTAGCAGGACAGACTGGGTTCTTTAGCCTTGGTTAACAACAGGTCAACCACAGAAAGAGATGGCAGGAAAAATCTGCCTCGTCAGTCATGTATCAAAAGATATATGATTGTCTAAACATATATCATACATGGCACATAACTGACTGACTGATACACATTTTATTAATTAACCCATAGCTGGGAGGTGAAAAGGTGGATTCATACCTTTCCCAAGGGTATTAATACATAAATGAAGATGACAAACATGACTGGAACTGGAACCCTACTCTCTAATTTCCAATTTTGAGCCATTATCCATTACATCACCTGCATACCTAAGCTTACAGCACATGGTATTCCCAAGCAGTTATTCATCCAGGCACTGACCAGGCCCAACATTGCTTAACTCTGGTGATCATATGAGATATGAGTGTTTGAATACAATATGGCCTTAAGCCAATACATGTGTAAAGTGGGATTATATGACATAATAATATATATATATATATATATATATATGTATGTATGTATTATTTGCTTTACTCTGTATTCAACACTCTTTTAAGAATAGTATTTTTCATTATTGGAATTTTATTCTGTCTCTACCATTCCTACAATTGTAAAATATATATATATATATATATATATATATATATATATAAGATATTATGTATATTTCTTATGTCTTTTCTTAAAATATATATCTTTTCTTAAAATATATATATATATATATCTTTTCTTAAAATATATATATATATATATATATATATATATATATATATATCTTTTCTTAAAATATACATATATCTTTTCTTAAAATATACATATATATATCTTTTCTTAAAATATACATATATATATATCTTTTCTTAAAAATATATATATATATATCTTTTCTTAAAATATACATATATATATATCTTTTCTTAAAATATACATATATATATATCTTTTCTTAAAATATATATATATATATATCTTTTCTTAAAATATACATATATATATATCTTTTCTTAAAATATACATATATATATATCTTTTCTTAAAATATACATATATATATCTTTTTCTTAAAATATATATATATATATATATATATATATATATATATATATATATTTTAAGAATAGAAATATACATAATATCTTACATTAATTGCACAACTTCAAGTGCTGGAAATATATTTATTTTTAGTTATCTAAATATTTATTTATCTAAATAAATAAAAATAAATATAATATTTCCAGCAGTTGAAAATTGCTTCAGCACGAAACTCAGAGTTGTGCAATTAATGTAAGATATTATGTATATTTCCTAAAATATATTAAATAGCACTGTTACTTAAAATTGAAAACTGTTTTTTCTTAGACTATAGAATATGTATATGTATATGTATACAATCACTCACTCATATACATACTTATTTAACCATTCATTTATATATATATATATATATATATATATATATATATATATATATATATATATATATATATATTATTTGTAAACTGACAATGATTTTGTAATTGCATTGGTTAGTTTGAGAGGGTTATTCCACCTTGTCTGCTAGAATGCCCACTAGATGTAAGTGTATTCAGGACTATAAAAACAAGAAATATAAACACTTTTTTCTCTTTTTGGTGACACATAAACACGATGCAGTAGGTAGCATGTGTCCAATCTACCCCTCCAGGGAGCTTTAGGGGACCAACAACTGGTTACCTAAATTTCAACCTTGTGGCAAACATGTACACACACACACACACACACACACACACACACACACACACACACACACTATGGCTCAGTACATACATTTTTATCTTTCCTTTATTAATGTATCTGTATACATACAAATGTAATTTTTAAAAGGATTTTTTATTCAACATTATTACTATAAATGTTATTCTTACACAGTATTCAGTGAAATTAATAACAACTGCCCTAACCTGAGAAGTTCTACTAAAGAAAAATTGTGCCTTCAACAGGAATCGAAACTGCATCCCTTTTTTTCCTATTAGGGAAACCACATTTTAGCCAAAGCATGGTGCTACCATATTGTCTATGGAGACCAGTCTGGCAGAGCAAGTTTTGAAATATCTATTTGAGGAAAGCACATTTCCCATTGGGACTTCTAGGAATTTATAAAGGAAAAAAGACAATAGGAAAACTGTAGTTTTAGCCGACATGTTTCGTCTAATGTGAACTTTTTCAATGCAAAAAACGAAATTAATTTATTGAATCTATAAACAACAAACAAAATGTCGTTAGCAACTAGAGGAATTTAGAAACACTATTGTATATTCATATGGTCAACTGAAAAGTCCACATTGGATAAAACACGTCCGCTAAAACTAGTTTTCCTATTGTCATTTTTTCTTTATAAATGTCTTTTTACAGGTTAATTCTGAGAAATTTTTACATACTTCTAGGAATCTATAAAGTATATTACTTATGACATTATTTCTTATAACAATGAACAATATTTTTAGTGGGGACACAAGTTTCAATTTAGGGTAATTGTTATTAATTTCACTGTTTAAAAAAACTAATAAACAGATATGCCCATATACCCTCTAAAATAATGTTTATAGAAATAAGGTACATAAATATATTTTTTTTCTTTTTCATCTTTCGTGAGCTTTGTTGTTCTTTATATAAATATATGCATAAAAATCATCCCAGTGTTGAATTGGTTTCTTTTGAAAATGTTGAATTCGTTTATTTCAAAGTTTTCATCCACGTCAGCAACAGAAGTTATTTCTCCCACTACAAACTGGTAACCAACAGCAACTTCATCTATTATAATACTGAAACACCTATTCACTACAAATGGTGACCCCCCCCAATATGATCTGAACACACAACCTTCTGATCCCTGTTAGATATTATTGCATTGCTTGATGTCATATCTATCTTCCTATATGGCAGTGGATGCTGGGCAATTTCCTGATAAATGAAAAAGAAACTAGAAGCAACTGAGATGTGGTTCTACAGAAAGATACTGAGAATACTATGGACAGAACACAGGAACAATGAGGAAGTTTTAAAGAAAATGCAAACTAAAAACATACTTACATTTAAAATTCAGAAACTGTTGAAATTTTTAATACATATAATATAGAAAGAGGGATTAGTGCATTTAACACTTACAGGTCATATTGAAAAAGTGGGGGAGCAGAGTTTGTGTGAATGGACAGCAGAGTGATAATAGAAAAGAATGGTAAAGTTTCAAACAGCTTTGAGGTAAAAAGATAAAGTTGTGGAGATCTGTGATCATTTACAGCCTGAAGAGATATTGGTTATCTTTGCTGCATTATTAATCTAAATTTTTTATTTATACAGCTAACTCTACTGCCATGTGTAAAAAAAAAAAAGAATTCTGCTGCTAAATTAAAATAAAAATATCCAAGAAAGTTATTACGAAAAAAAGCAATATTTTAGAACCTTTATCTTCCATTATTTACATTATTTGGACTATTGTCCTCATCTTTGTCACCATATTTATTACAACATTTTGTTCATACACTCCAGCCTTTTTCAGGTGGTTGGAATGTCAAACTGAACCCTTTATTTCGCTTATTAAACTCACACTCTTTGCGTCCTATCACTGGATCTAACCCAAACCTTTATCCACTGTGCCATATGTCCTTGGCACAGTGGATAAAGGTCTTGGTTAGATCCAGTGACAGGACTCAAAGAGTGTGAGTTCAATAGCCAGCTAAGGCAGTAGTGAACTTGGAGAGGGGAATTAACAGGAAATAACTGATAACTGACATCCATTAAAACATGGCACGTGGAACTAGAACAGTCTACCCCAGTGAGCAAAATAAAGGGTTCAGTTTGACATTCCAAATAATGTAAATAATGTACACAATATCTCATCTCAGAAATATAGACAGACACTTTTATCTTCCCTATATATATATATATATGGGATATTTTATTAGGTTATTAGCACAAGCATGTTATTGATGTGGAGTAATAACACATGTTATCATAACAACGGAATATCTCATCTCAAATAAAAAAAAGATAAAAATGCATATTGATAAATACAGGGTGCAACAGAAATAACTCCTACATTATGATAAAACATTTAGTGGCAATGGTGTTTTCATCTAGCCTTACAATTGTGTGGGAGGTATTTCTGGAAGATATTTCTGCCGTACTCTATATATACAATACAATCATGTGTGTGAGAGTGAGAGTACACACATGTAAAAGTTTCTAGTGAGAAATTAAAAAGGGTTTTCAACTGTATATTCAATCTATAAGTTTAAAAAAGTATGTGGAGAAATTTTTCACAAAAAACGTAACATAACTTTAGTCTTTCCATTCTTACAAGAAATTAATTAACTGATATAAAGATATATAATCGAAATTATTGAAAAGTGAGATTGTATACATAATTTTATGTAAGTATACAATTTAATCAAATTAAAATGCTAACTAAAAAAAGGGTTAAAAAATAAATATGTTTATTAATTTCCTAATGAGCACCCATACTTTATAGTAGGGTCACGTTGACAAGTTTGTGCGCCGCTTTTAAGCAACAACAAAATATTATTCTGCACAAACGACAGCGGCCGTTCGTGATTGGTTAATATTAATTGCAAGATGGCGGTGAGTGGCGGTATACGGCAGCGGCAACAATTCAGTGGGGCCGTCCTCCTCACGGACCTAGACGACTTCATCGCCCCGTCACAGGTACAAGACAATTTAACAAAAAAATAAACCCCACAATACTTAACTCACTCTTTCAATTGAATAACTTAGTAGACAATTAATGATCATGTTTTCTTTGCTAGAAAAAATTACTAGCAAAGAAAATGTTACCTCGAAACGTGGTTCAGGTTTGAAGTCACGAGGAAGTTGATTGCCGAAAGGTGAAATTTAAAGACGAGGTTTAGGTTTTCTTTTGCATTTCGAAAAAAAAAAAGCCCGAAAGCATTAGTGTTATTAAATTAAATTATTCTACTTTGTTTTTAAAGTATTTCAGCTACTTATTATCTTGAGTCGTAAAAATGCCACTTATTTTCTAAAATCTCTCGGTATTGCCAAAATTTGAAAGGCTGACAAATTTGTGGAACAAATATTGGGAAAGACCGAAATCTTTTTATTTTAAATCAATATCTTTTCTTTAATTAATTTTTTTTATTTTGGAGATCAATGAATTAAATTTAACAATGTTTTGCGTCTTTTCAATTAAAAAAAAATCAGAACTTTAATTTGTTGCCTAAAAAAAGAGCCTTTCTTTACGACTACGAGTCTATACTTAGAGCATTTATTTATTTTAATATTATTAATTTAATAATATTGATATATTTATTCTTTAATTTGGTTCTCGTGATATATACCGTGCTTTTCTTAGTCTACTTACTAACATTTTTCCTGTAATTTTAATTATAATTTTTAACATGTTAATTTCAGTCTTTTTTTTTAATGCATAAAATTCGCTTTTAAATTGATATTTTCTGAAAATATATATATAAAAAAACCGTTTATTAAAATAATAAACTAAATACTTGACAAATTTGCTAAAAGCCGAAAAACTAGTAAAAAAAATATCTGCTCTTGGAGTGTAGTGTCACAGATGAATGAATGAAATCTACAAGTGTTGAAAAAAAATCTATTTCCTGATTTAGTGATCATTCATCCACCGAATGATGGGAAATAGTTGTAAATAATAAAAACAAAGAAAAAGAAACTTCTTTTTTTTTTCTTACGTGTCCGAGACAGTTAATTCCCTCCGTTTGAACACCGATGACTGATGAAACCCCCGAAATACAGAGCCCCATTCGTTCCTCAGGTGGTGAAGTTTTATTGTTGGTTGTTGTTGTTTTGGATTGCAAACTACTTTTGAGCTTTGCTGGTCACAACTGGGAATGCTCTTGAATTTCAGCTTCTTTTAGAAGAGCAGATGAAAGAAAAAAAGCAAGGATGCCGTTAGTAATAAAAAAAAGTAATATTTGCCTTAAAATAGGATCTTTATATAAATAACAGTTCCTGTGTCCGTTCTTATTTTCTTCTTTGGTAAAAAAAAAAAGAAGACACTTTGATAAATTTAGCTGCAGTAGCTGAATAAAAAAGTACTACTAATTAATTTTTGGTAGTACCACGAACACGTACAACTGATTGTTGTTAGTTAGTTGTTATCGCTATTTGAACATATAATTGCAATAATGTTGGCAGGGTTAGGGTTCTTTTTTTTCTTTTTTCTTTTTCTTTTCCTTTTTTTTCTTCTTCTTTTAAACTGTTTTCTTTTTTGATCGCTTTTTTTTGCTTTGTACCGATTCATTCATTTGTCCAGGGAAAACTGCCAACTACTGCTATCAACTTTCACTTTCTTTTTCCGTTTATTCTTAATCTTGATTATTTCAGAAACCGGTGCTTGCTGTATATATTATTATTATCAGCAGTTTCATATAGAATTGATGATAGTGTTATTATTATTTTAAATTATTTTTTGTTGCTCACTCTGAAAGTGAAAACTGTGCCAGCATTCCATTTACCAATAGTTCTTTTTAGTTCATCTGCAAATGGCAGTTCTGATTGTTATTGTTAAAATTAAAAATGTGTCGTCTTTTGTCGTCCGTTTTTCTTTTACGTGGCTTTTCCTTCCGTTTCTGTCGTGTGGAGAACGATTTTAGAAGATCCAACCAGTACGACTGGTGAACAGAAAGTCTGCAATAGTGGTCGCAACTGTAGTGTGTTGCTGATAATGATTTGTCATAAAAACAGTGCTAGGCGTAAAAAGATGACAGCCTCCACGGCATCTAGTCTATTTCTTAAAAATGATTGTGCCAACTCTCGTGGGTAGAAAAAATGCTCACGCGAAAGAAGACTAGCTTCCATACACATATATCCACGCTATCACCCGTCCTTATCGTTTTTAAATATAGTTTTGTTGTTGTTGATGCTGAATTTCATTCATTCGTTCATTCATTCATTCATTTTTAAAACGACATTAAAATTATTCTCATCTCTTGAATAAAGTATTAAAATATTTAAATTATATATTTTATATGTGAAGTTACTTTTTTGACAACAGGTAGTTTGTTTTTTTTTTTTTTTTTTTTTTTTTTTTTTTTAAATAAAAAATATAAGAAACCGAAATTCTATCATACACACATGTGTATGTATATTCTTATGAAGTGTGACAGACATTCACGTCTGTTCGTCTTTCTTTCTTTCTGTTCATCCATCCACTCAATTCATGTATGTTAAGAAGCTTGTCCATTTTTGGTGATTGTATAGAAATGTATATTCTAACATTTGGAAATTATCCAAAATTTCTCTCTTGGCCTTTTCTTTTTTTTTCTGCTTTCTCCAAAAGTGTGTGTGTAAATACGTTCGTTGCTTTTCTGGTTGCACTATGGGTCTCCTACATAAAAGTTGCTCTTCACACAGTGAATACACCCCCAGAGTTAGACCAGTCACTCTCTCTCTCATTAATATTCTAATGAGTCGAGCAACACTAACATAATAAATTCACTAAGGTTTGTTCTGAGAGAATCAAATGTAGAGAGAGAGATAATAGAGAAAGAGGGTCAGAAAGCAAAAAGGGAGGATGTAAGCAAATATTCAACATGGAGAGAGAAAAAGAAAGCAAGCTTAAAAAGACTATTCTCAACAGTTTAGAACCAATAAAATCCTAATCTACGCATTTATTTCCTTAAGATCATAGAATGTTTCTTGTAAAATAATTGGGTTCTAAATATATTCTTTTGATCAATTTGTGTTTCAGTATTCTGATTATTTATTGTAGCTTCTTATTTTAGATTTTATTATGTAATTTTAAGATAACTGATATAACTATTTTTAATTTTAAAAATATTAAATGAATAAAATTCAATTTCTGTTATCATTTCCTAAAGACATTTTTTTAAATTTTGATTTGTTCTTTCACCTGAAATCATTCATTGTTATTTCACTCTGTTTTTTTTTCTCCCATTTATGATAAATTCTAGAAAAAAACTCTTATTTGTAAATGGGGAGAAAATGGATCAACCAAAATGCCCTTCACTTTCTTTTACCTATTTTTTGTTTATCTTTTTTTTAACTAATTATAATTAATTATATTTTTCAACTTAAAAATGTAGAAGAATTAGGCTACCTAAATATTTCTAAAGTCCTGTTTTTATAAAGAAAATAAGTATACAGTTAGGCTTTATTTAATAAAAGAATTCTTTAGACAAATAAATTCCATCAATATAGTTTAAAAAAAGAAACAATTAACCAACAATGCATAATTTGTGATAAGAATGCAACAGTCGGATGGACCAACAAATTGAGAGGTGTTTTTATGGTGTTTATATTTTCTTAGTTTGTATGAGGAGGTGCTGAAAAATGATTAAAACCATTTGGCCAGTTTTTGGAAGTGGGTTGGACTGTGAAAATTTCAGCATTCATTGTATATCTAATCTTTGTAATTTTTATCTTTTGTATTCAAAATATTACTCAGTATATGTGTAAAAAAAGATGTCCCAAAAATATCTAAGTACCTTTATTAAAATATGTCATTTTGAAAATTAAAATATGCTAGATTTAACATTAGCAAATTTCAGTTTTACTCTTTCAGGCATCAATTTTATCTTGTAGGATATCCAAAGAGGTTCCCTTTTCAAAATTTAACTAAATTCTCTTTTGCATCTCATCCACATAAAAATGTATGTAGTTTCTATCCAAATGGCTTTTATTCTTTAGAAAGCTTATTTTACTTTATACAAGGCCAAAAATCTGGGACACCCAATAAAGATCAGGCTCAGTAGTAATGGTCAAGCAGAAATTAGATTACCTTTGTTCAGATGTCTTTTTATTGAATATTACAAGTCACACATGTATTATTTTTCTTGTTTTTCACAGTAATTTAGTGTTGAGTACAAGTTAAATAATGTTGTCTATTTATGATTGTGTGCATGTAATATATATATATATATATATATATATATATATATGAAGAAATATAGTCTTAAGGTGTGCTATATTTATAGGATAAAGTGCTCAATATCAGAGATAGTGTGTGTAAATATAAAAGTGAACATCAGGTAGCCTGATGATTGCATCTAGCATGAAAGAGACTGTCACCTGTAAGTGTTGACTTCTATGTTCACTTTTATATATATAAACCTATACAAACAAATATATATATATATATATATATATATATATATATATATATATATATATATATATATATATATATATATATATATATTGTTTGTATAGGTTCTGATTATTCTAATATCCTTCCAAAATATGTCAGGGTTCCTAGCATTTCCCACAGTTCTTTGTGAAATACTTCCTCAAATGCTTTTGCATAATCTATGAAACACAGATACACCTACTTCTACATTTGTATTGCTCTTTCCGATATTATTCTGAGCATAAATATTACATTCCTTGTTCCAGTGTCTTTAACAAACCCCCACTGTTCTTGTCCTATTTTCAGTCTGATTCTGCTGCACACTACATTCATCATAATTCGGATGATAAAGTTTATTGTCCAATGGAGTTTACATTCATTTGCACCTGACTTCTTAGGCAGTGTTATAACAATAACTCTACTTAGGTCACCAATGTTATAGATTTCATTTATTATGTCTGTGATCTTGTCAATGGCCAAATCATCTCAGGCTGTCAGTATCTCTGTTACAATTCCATTTGGTTATGTTTTTTTTGTTTCTCTTCAATATGGTCTGTACTGA